GTGGGCTCCTGGAAGAGACCCTGTCACACAGTTTTGCCTGGTCTCCCAGGCAATATTTGGAAATACAAATGCAAGCCCCATAACTCTCTATAGCCCCATAACTCTTACATTCTGCATGCCTGAAAAACCAGCACAATGTGGGTGACACCAAGGTTGAGGAGTAGCTTAGGCCCCCTTGGACCATGACTGCAGTGGCCTCTTGAGTGTCTGAATTTGGGGATACACTTCCTTAGGCAGTTCTAAATGAGGTATCCAAGAGACTCTCTTCTTAAATATTTAGAGTTTTGCTCCCTTGAGCCTGCAGAAGGTAGGTCTTGCTGATTTTTTAGATGCTTTTGAGCCATCTTTTCTATTGTTCTTTTGCAAAATATAGTGGTTTGGTTCACAAATAGAAGCATTTGGCAAAATTTTGGTTTTGTTTGCAAGCACCCTATCAGGTAACAAACATGGCCATGGCTATCTTTACCATACAAACATGAATCTGGCCATCTTTTCCAGAATTATAAAACAAATTAAGTTCGTGAACCAAGCTACCACTGTACTTGGCTTCTTTTTAATGCCAGTCTTTTCAGGAACCATGTTCTCTTTTGTCCCAACTTTTTAGGAGCTTCCTTTCTGGCAAAACTACAAACTTTTCAAATCATTCAGCTCTACTTTCTGCTCCTGATTTTCACCATAAATCTGGCTAAAAGCAGAGCCAGCAATACTTAAGTCACAAACTGAACATTGGGCTGCCTTAATATTTTTTCCAATAAATTAATTAGTACATTCCCCTTAATCTCAGGCTCCTGTAGTCTCAGGACATGGGCAAAATACATACAGATTTTCTGCCAGAATGTAACACACATGGCCTCTAGTCCAACTGCCAATAGAGTCCTTGTTCCCACCTGAAACCTCTTGAACCTGGACTTTATTGTGCACATTCCTCTCAGCATGCTGGTCTTCCGAGCTCCAACCAGAATTTCTCATCAATCTCTGTTCATGGTACTCTACAGCTTCTCTGTCTCACTTCTTCAGCCTTTTTTCTTTTTTAAGTCAAGGTCTTGCTATATACTTCAGGCTGCCCTTGAACTCACAGCAGTCCTCCTGCCTTAACCTCCTGAGGGCTAGGATTATAGATACGTGCCATCATGCCCAGCTTCCAAACTTTTCTAAACTCCTACAGAAAGTTCCAAAGGCTTCTAAATCAAATCACATGATCAGGTAGAGTCATAGCAACGGCCCAACCCCCAGTACCAATTTTCTGTATTGACTAACTTACCCATCAGTGGAACAAAATACCTGACACCTCAAAGGAAGAGAGGTTTATTTTAGCTCACAGTTTCAATGGGTTTAACCCACGGTCAGCTGACTCCAAGACAGAATACCTGACAGAGAAAGGCTGTTTACTCCATAGTGGCCGGGAAGCAGAGAAAGACTGGAGGAGAGGGGGCTGAGGAAGACAGTATACACCTTTCCAAATCATACCCCCAGTGACTAGCACTTTTCCACAAGGCCCCACCTCTGAACGTGAGGATTTTGAAGGACATTTTAGATGTAAACCATTACAGCTTGGCTCAGTGTTACTGAGTATTCTGTGGTTTGCTTTCGCTATACATAGAATCAACTGTTTTGTTGTTGTTAAACTAGGGGATGTCCTGTACACTAGTATACTATACACATCAGGGCCTTTGCACTGAGCTCCTGTCCCCTCTTTTTTTCTTTTAAACAGGATCTTGCTGAGTTGCCCAGTCGGAACTTGAACTTGTGTTCCTCCTGCCTCAGCCTCCCGGAGTGCTGGGATTACAAGCATTTGCCACGAGGCCTAGCTTTCACCTTATTCTTCCTGGTTTTTTTTGGTACTGGGTATCAAACTCAGGACCTTGTGCTTGTGAGGCAGGTGCAGTACCACTGAGCTAAATCCCTGGCCCTCACCTTGTTTTTTAAAACAACTTTTCCCATAATTTGAATGTATCTTATTCAGTTTGGTCATTTCTCTTTTGGCTGAGTCTTAGATTATCCTCTTTTTTTTGTTTTGTTTTGTTTTGTTTTTGTTTGGTTGTTTTTTTTGGTTTTTTTTTGGGGGGGGGTTGAGACAGGGTCTCACTATGTAGTTGAGACTGACCTAGAACCCACTGTGTAGTTCAGGCTGGTCTTGAACTCACAGTGATCTTCCTGCCTCAGCCTCCCGAGTACTGGGATTACAGGCATGAGCCACCACGCCTGGCTCTCATTTTTTTTTAATATGTCACTGTACTTTTCTGTGACTGTCTTTCTGGGATAGTATTCTTTTTTTTTTTAATTTTATTGAGTTTATTGGTACATTTTAGGGATACAGTACAGTTACATTCATTGTTGGGATCATGTACCTTTACATGGCAAGTCTTGATTCTCCATTTTTTCCCCTTACCTCTGCCCTCCCTTCACCCCCTCCTCCCCTCCCCATCTACAAACACTTTATTTTCATCTTTTCATTCTCTCACTCAGCCATAAAGAGCGAGAGAATAGATTCATTCATAGGAAAATGGATACATATTGAAGATATACTCCTAAGTGAAATAAATAAGTCACACATGTGTACATACCGAATAGTTTCCCTGGTGTGAATATTCTGCAACAATGCATAAGATTCTAATAAGATTACTGACATTTAGAAATTTGAAGACAGGCGCTAAAGGTGTAGGGAAGGTGTGATGCGTAGGGGAAGAACAAAAAGGGAAAAGAAAAAAATGTGAGAGAATGGGATAGTATTCTTATAATTGCTATATCAAAATGTGAGAACATCAGCAGATAGTTGCATGAATTTACACTGCTACAGCAGGCATGAGCCTGCCTATTTCTCTTAACCTCGTGTGCTTATGTATTGGAATAAAAGTAACAAGAAGCAGGGTTGTACATGGAACCATGAAAAATGTAGATTATTCTCAGACTCTTTAGTGGTTCTTTCTGTTCTCCCCAACTTCTCAAATTGGGTACTTCAGGACATTCCTATATCTGTATTCATCCCCCCGATGACTTCATGCAAGTTGATTGCTTCAAATACCAACTAATGTGCTGATGACTCCCAAATGCCATCTCCAAACCACCTGGCACCCCACCTCTAGCTTTCTCTATCTGCCCCAGTTATCTCCCCTTGCTGCCTGGTATACATCAGTGGAGTCCTGATCTTCTGTCTCCTTCCTGTTCCTTCCCTCTTTCTAGGTTGATGGCAAGTCCGTTACACCAAAAACTTTTTCTTCCATAATCTACCATCAGCCCATCAGGAGCTCTTTTTGTCTCTATAAGTTGTATCCAGATTCCAAAATGCTTTTTCCACCTCTGCTACCATCATGGTTTGCACCGTTGTTGTCTTGTTTTGCTTATATCCCTCCCTGGTCCTGCTATGGCCACCCAAATGGTCTCAGAATAAGTAAATATCTCAACGTGACTGTTACGTCCTTGCTTTGAGTTTTACATGACTGATCTCCTTTTCCAGTGAACTTTGCAAATCCATTCTGCATATTCCAGTGTCGCCTTTTCAGGAAGGAAGTTCTATTCACTCTGACCATCTAATCTAGCTTTTGTGTGTGTGTGTGTGGTCCTGAGAAGCAAACCCAGGGCATATCAGGCAAGCAAGTGCTCTGTCACTGAGCTTTATCCCCAGCCCCTGACCATCTGCTCTGCAGTGCCACTTGCACTCCTTACCCTTTTATATCTGTAGCACTTACTGCCTTCTGACAGGCTCTCGTTTGTTTCTCTGTACTGTTGCCTTTCACTTGCTGGAATGAAAATGGCATGGTCCATGGAACCAGTGATCTTTGTCTTATTCAATGATGTATTCCATGAGCTGGGAACAGGACCTGGCCTGATACAAATTCAAAAAACACTGTAGACTGTCACTAGGGAGGCACAGACAGCAGAGAGGCCCCACAAGACAGACTTGAAGGCTGTCCACTGACTGATGTGCAGGGACTTGAAGGTACTTCTCTCGTCAAGGCATCTATTGGAAGGGTCTGCACCACATGCTTTGGGAGGCAGAGGGCTATAGAACCCTTGAGCAGTTCCATCTTCACAGCAGCTTGGAGTGCCTTTCTCCAGCATGCCTGGGAGAACAGTCTGTGTCAGTGTCACATATGAAACTAACCCTGTACTGCAAACACGGAGCCTCTCAAGAGGGTCCCTGACTGCAGGGGAGCGGAGAGCTCTGTCTTCCAAGTACTCTTTGGAAAATACTCCACACCGAGCCCCTTTTACAAGTTATGAGTAAAAAAGCCAACTTAAAAGTTATTTATAGCAGATATCTGAAGGGCTTACTTGGCTCAATTTTCTTTATAACCAGAAGCCAGTATTCTCTTTGCCTTCATGGTAGTTTTCAAATCATTCAGTACTTGGTTTATAGATGAGACGATACTGAAATCTTTTCAGTTCTAAGACCAGTGAGAGTTATTTTTCTCTTAATGTTTTTAAGAAAGTTGTTGGCTTGCGTTGGGCATCTTAAGTGTGTTTTACTGTATAAAAATACATGTATTTACTTTGCAAAAGTATTATCGAAAATATATTAATAGGGCCGAGGGTTTAGCTCAGTAGTTCTGCTGCCTGCTTTGCAAGCACAAGGTCCCGAGTTCAATCCCCAGTACCAAAAAAAAAAGAAAAAGAAAATACATTAATACACATAAAATTCTTCTATTCCTTCTGCTTACCTCTTATGAAAAGCTTATTGTTACTTTAATAATGAACTTTTTTTGTTTGCTTAGACTTTACTAGTAAATGTTTGCTTTGATTAATGAATGGCCTGCTTATTATCTCTTGTCATTATCTTGGAATTGTTTCTCATGTTTGAGGTTGACCACATGGGCCATTCTGGAGGTCAGCGCTCTAGGACCTTCCGAGAAGTCAGGTCAGGAAACTCCCCAAAGTCTTCTCCTGCTCTGCTTCCTGTGACTGGGGCCTGGTGATGAAGCAGTAGAAGGGAGCTTGGAACTAAGACCTGTGGTACTGATTCTGGGACCGGGATAATAACTCTGTACATTCCTTTTTCACAGTTGTTTCCTCTCTTTGCTCCTGGTGGCTGCTGTGGTTTGGAAGATCAAACAAAGTTGTTGGGCCTCTAGGCGTAGAGAGGTAAGCCTCTTTAATAAAGCTAAAGAATCTCAGGGAGAGCTTTTTCTCTGAGAAAAGTCACCTTAACTGTTTAGTGATCAGTGATACATGCATTGTGGTGGGATAGGGTTCTGCAGCAGTCAGTAGACTTAATGTGAATCTGTATGGAACATCCTTAATTCTGCCACAGCATGGCCACCACTTGATTTGACACAGTCTTATCAAGAGCTTTTCATAAGAATGAGAATAAAGGGAGCTAGTTATGGTGGTGCACACCTGTAATCCCAGAAATCTAGGAGCATGAGGCAAGAGGATGCTAAATTCAAACCCAGCGTAGGCCCAGCCTGGGCAACTTAGTGATTTAGCAAGAACTGACTCAAAATAAAAAAGGAAAACGGGACAGTGGAGCCCTGTTGCTTCATATTCCTACTACTTGGCTAAAGTCAGGCCTGCTTTCTTCCTGCTGAAACTGAACCAGATATTCGTACAGCAACAAAATAGCACAGAAGATAGAAATGAATGAACTCTTCCTTCAGAGATAGTGTAAGCGAACAACAGAAATGGGAAAATGGAAAGACTGATGTTTCTGTAACTCTGAACCTGGCCATTCATCATATATTTCATCATTTCTAGAAGATCAGTAGTGGAAACTTTAAATCCTTGCACATACCAGGCCCTGCTTGGAAGTCTTCTGCCCACATCACCTCCTGCACTCCATGGAGGTCTGGAGTCAGAGCTGCAGGAGGGAAGGAGCTCTGTCTCACTATGACTCACTTAGATAAGCACAGGGCAGAGAGCTGGGTTGCTGCATATAATTGCTGAGTAAATAAATGGACCATCATCTTTTTGAAATGGAAAAGTCTATTGTTTTAACATAAAAACTTCCTTCTAGAACAAAGCCCTGAGTCCTGCAGCCCAGGATTCTGTCTCCTGCCATAATTCCTAGGAAGTAGTTTGTCATAAGTCTCGTATGTCTTCCAACCCAAACCTCAAGAACATGCCCAGAAGATCTCTAATACCCTTAAGAGTACATGGGTGACCATGTACCATGTGCTCGGCATTGTCTTACCTGAGCCTGTTGACCTCATAGGATCAGAATGATTCAGAGAAGAGGAAACTGAAGCCCAGAGATGTTAAGCACACCTTTCATTTTTTTTTTCTTTCTTTTTTTTTTAAGACAGCCTCTCTCCGTTCCTGGCTGGCTTCAAACTCACAACCCTCCTGCCTCGGCCTCTTAAAGTGCTAGGATTATAGTCGTGCATCACTACACCCAGTTTTTACACACCTTTCTTAAGGTCATACAGCTGGAGAGAGTTGGAGCAGGGGTTCACATCTATATTTCCCTGAGTCCAGAACCCCTTCTTTCTCTCTACTCTACAGAATTTCCCATTTGTGTTTTTTGCTTACACCATTTCTTTTTTGTACCGGGGATTGAACTCGGGTCCTTGCGCTTGCAAGGCAGGTGGCGGAACCACTGAGCTAAATCCCCAGCCCATTTACACCACTTCTGCAGACAGTCTTGTCTGCTGTGCAGTAAGGCACAATGTTTTGTTGCTATAAGAATATCTGGTTCAGTTTCGGTAGAAAGAAAGCAGGCCTGACTTTAGGCAGGAAAATGAAGCAGTAGGGCCCCATCATTTTATTTAACATGCAGATATCATAGCATAATATCCACCACTACTACAGCATGTATCTCCAACAGATAAGGAGCTTTTAAAGATACAACAATGATGTTATCACAGCTAACAAAATTTAATAATTCCTAATGTTTTCTAATACCTGGTCCATGTTTAGTTTCCCCCAACTGTCACAGAAGTTTGATTTTAGATTTGATTGGTTTGAATCAGGGAAGATAAGGTATTTTTAATATGCATTGTTCAGTAATAGAATCCCCTTGATAACTTGTTGCCTAATACTTGCTGTATTATCTATTAGCAACTTCTTCGAGAGATGCAGCAAATGGCCAGTCGACCCTTTGCTTCCGTAAACGTTGCCTTGGAAACAGATGAAGAGCCTCCTGACCTTATTGGGGGAAGTATAAAGGTAAGAAGGTTATTCAGAAGTCCCCATAAGTCTCCACAGGATGGTCCGGTACCAAAAAAAATAAAAAAGAGGTGGCCACTGGAGGAGAGTTAGCTGAAACAAGAGGTGATTTAGGCAGGACTGCAGATGTTGCAACTGACATCTAAAGAATACAGTGCAGCTATGCATGAAGTGTTTAAAGAAATAAAAATTAGAATCATAAAGATGATGAAGCCATGAAAGTCAAGAATAACCAGTGGAACTTCTAGAACTGAAAAATATAGTTGTTGAAATGTTTTAAATAAATAACTCAGAAAGAATGTATTAGACACAAATGAATTTAAGAACTAGAAGAAAAATGTGAAAAAAATCACACAGACTGTAGCAACAATTATAAGGATATGGAGGACAGAATGAGGAGATACAATGTTGTATTTTTAGAGTACCAGAACAAATAAATGGAGGAGAGACAATATTCAAATATTGAATGACTGAGAATTTTCCAGAACTGATGGAATATATGTGTGTAGATTCCAGAGCAGAAAATATTATAAGCAGGAAAGAAAACAAACAAGGAAGACAAGAAGTAGAGATGGATTTACCATTAGTGAAACTGCAGAACTCCAAAGAAAAAATATCTTAAAAACAACCAGAGATTGATCCATCTATAATGTGAAAAAATTGGAATCCCTATAATGGAAGAAATTGGAATCCCTATAATGTGAAGAAATTGAAATGATACAGCCCCTATAAAACAGTATTGCTGCCGGGGATTTAGCTCAGTGGTGCCACCATCTTCCTTGAAAGCACAAGGTCCCAAGTTTGATCCCTGGTACCAAAAACCAAACAAACAAACAAAAAACAGTATTGCTGTTCATTAAAAAAAATTAAAAGAATTATCATGGAACCTAACCTTTCCTCTTTGGGGTATATAACCAAAAGAATTAAAATCAGAATCTCAAAGAGATATTTATACAACAGTACTTATGGCAGCATTATTCTTAATAGCCAAAAAGGGGAAGCAGTGAAGTGTCCTTCAGTGGATGGATAAGCAAAATGTAATATATGTCTAGAATGGAATATTATTCAGCCTTTGAAAGAAGGAGCCTGATACGTGCTATAAACATGGGTAAACTTGGAGGGCATTATGCTAAGTGAAATAAGCTAGTTATTTTAAAAGTACCATATGATTCCTCTTGTATCACTTATCTAGAATAATTAAATTTATAGAGACAGAAAATAGGATGGTGGTTGCCAGGGGCTAGGAAGAGAATTAGGAGTTTGTGTTTAATGGATAGTTTCCATTTTGCTGGATAAAGAGTTCTGCAGATGGATAGCGCAATGGTTGTGCAGCAGTGTAAGTTACTTAACACCACTGAATGTGTACTTTTTAAATGGTTAAGAGGGAAGATTTTGCATGTATTTTCTAACATTATTTTTAAAACTTGGGAAGGGCTGGGGATGTTGCTCAGTAGTAGAACCCTTGACTCATGTGCCCAATAAGTGCCTTTCAAGAATAAGGATGAAAAAAGGTATTTTCAGATTAGAAGATAAACAGAATTTGCCACAATGGATGTATATATTAGGAATGTCCAAAGGGTATGCTAGAAAGAAGGAGAATTACTCAAGATGGACTACAGTAAAAGAAGGAATAGTGAGTCAATAAAATCATAAGTATGTTCCTAAACTTAAACATTGGCCTGACAAAATAATAATAATTTGTTGGATTTTTGAAAATAGACAAACCTGAAGTGTTGAACAAGTCACTGTGTCAACAGCATGTGACACAGTTAGTTACTCCTTAAAACACTTTCTTGACTTTCTTTCCACATGTCACACTTACCTCCTGATGGCTGTTGACCAATGGTTCAGTCCTCTTCATCTTCTCAACGTCTTTTATTTTATTTTTGCAGTGTTGGGGTAGAACCCAGGCCATGTTGATGCTAGGCAAGTGCTCTCCCAACTAATGTATCTCAGGCTTAGTCTTTGACCTCTTATGTCTTTTATATTCACCCCTTGGATGAGCTTATCTATCACGGACTTACAGTCCATGATCCCCTCCACCCAGACCTTTCCCATGAGCCTCCAGATCAGTATTACTTGTTGTTCCCACTTGGGTGTCTTAACAAGTGTGTCAGACTTGACGTGTGAACTGGGCTCTGGATGTTGTCCCTGACCTATTCCTCTGGTGTATGTTCCCCCACTCAGTGAAAGTTGCCCAATCCTTCTAGTTGCTCAAACCAAAACTGTGGAAATATTAACTAGTTCTCACTCTTGTTCTCTCATTGGACAGGCAATAGCATTGAATATTTTGATGTCTTCTACATTTTCTAGCCACTGAACTTCACCTCCACCATTGCTGTCACCTTGTTCTAAGCCACTGTCATCTCTCACCTAGATTTGTCTTTTCCTTTTTTTTTTTTCTTTCTTTTTTTCAGTATTGGGATTGAACTTAGGGTCTTCATATTAAGCCAAATCCACAGCCCTTTCTTTAATTTGTTTTTAATTTATTTTGAGACAGAATCTACTAAATTGTTCAAGTGGGACTTGAGTTTTTAATCCTCCACCCCAGCCTTCTAGAGTGCTGGGATTACAGGCATTCAGCACCTTGCCTTGTTCCATTTTCTTATATAGATAGGCTCTTGGAATCCTCTAATTCTTTTCCTTATCACTCATCATATTTGTGAGGTGATTTGTTTAATGCTCCTAGGCTGTGAGCTTCATGAAAGCAGGCATTCAGCTAGATTTATTTCATATCTAATACCAGGAACAGGGTTTAGAATATAATAATCTTCTCAGTGATCTTTTTTTCCTTAAATGCATTTTTAACAAATTATGAGTTTTACAGTTTTCTAGGATTCATGAGCCAGAAAATCATGATTTTTAGGGTAATCATGACTTTTATATTTTGAATTATTTCTGTGAAGATTTTTATATTGATATGTTTCCTAATAATGGACTATAGTTAAATTTCTAATGTAAACATCACTTAGTCATATTGTAATATAATTATATCATAGGTGATAAGTTCTCTTTGCTAGGATTTTAAGATTTTGCAGTTACAGTTGTTTTCACTTTTGTATGCTTTGTCAGATTTTGACATCAAGATTATACAGTGGTACCTCGGTTCACAAACAATTTGTTCTACAATTTTGGAAAAGGTGGCCACATATATGTTTGTATAGGAAAGATGGCCATGGTAGTATTTGTGTGGGAAAGAAGACCATAGTTGTGTTTGTCATCCAGTGCAGAGTTGATAACCAAAAACAAAATTTTGCCAAATGTTTCTGTTTGCACATCAAATTATTTCCAAACCAAAGCATTAGTGAACCCAAAGTATCCCTGTACTTGTATTTTCATGGTTTATTTTATTAAGCCATGGTTTTATTTTTAACTTTTTTATATTTTATTTTAAAATATCTTCTGTAAACAGCATGGGATTTCTTTGTTTAATTGATTAATTAGCTAGCAGTCTGGATCCAACCCAGGTACACTCTACCATTGAGTTACATCCCCATTCCTTTTTGCTTATCTTTTTTTTTTTTTTTTTTTTTTTTTTTTTTTTTTTTTCTGGTACCGGGGATCAAACTCGGGCCCTTGTGCTTGCGAGGCTGGCACCAGAACGACTGAGCTAAATCTCCAGCCCTTTGCTTATCATTTTGAGAGAGAGAGAGTCCGGTTAAGTCAGTAAGTTGCCTAGGTGGCACTTAATTTGCAGTCCTCCTGCTTCTGTCTCCCACAGTGCTGGGATTACAGGTGTGCACCACTGTGGCTGGCTTCACCTAGATATTTTTGGTTGCCTAATAACTGAATTTCCACCACTGCCATTTCACCCATCCGGTCAGTTTCCTATGCCTCAGCAGAGGAGTACTAGAAATTATTTTCCCCAACCAAATTGAAGAAATTAATGACATATTTATGATTAATGGTAGGCAGAACTCTAAAGGTGGCTCTCACTTCCTGTCCCCTGGTTATTCAGTCAAACACTACCCTAGGCACTACTATGAAGAGATTTTGCAGATATAATAAAATTCCCTTCATAGCAGTGCCACTGGCTGGTGGCAGAAGAGGAAGCTGGGCAGGCAATCCTGTGGGGGAAGAGCCATGAGAGACGAAGCACAGGGTGCTCCAGGAGAGGAAAGCAGCTCTTGACTGATGGCCAGCAAGGAAATGGGGGCTCCTTGACCTCCACCTATCTACAAGGAACTGGATCTTCTAACAAGCAGAATGAGTTCTAAAGCAAATCCTTCCTCCAAACCCCCAGAGAAGAGCACAGCCCAGCCAACAGTTTGACTTCAGCCTTGCCAGATCTGCGTAAGAGTCTGAGCATTGTCCAGAGCTGATGTGGACAAGACTAGGCCTGAGTCTCTTGCATGTAGGACCATGAGACAGTAAAGGGCTATTTTGTAAATGGCTAAATTGGCTGCATAGCAACAGAAACCAAAACAAGGGGCATCTATGCTTATCCTATCTCAAAGTTGCAATAGAAAGCTAGGACGTATTTTCCAGAGTCAAGTGCATCCAGAGAGTCCATGAGCGCTCTATTTGGTGAACTGTCCAGCTCTTCCAAGCTCTTTCATCCAGGGACCTGTCTACTGGTGCCTGAGAACTGACAAAATAAGCTGGAATTTACAAAAAAGTCTCCATAATCCCAGAGTCTGCGTGTGAGCCAGGTATGCAGAACTTTGGCAAACCTCTATCTTTGACCTACAAGTATGAGTTAGGGTTTCAAGTTAAGTAAAAGTATAGAGCCCAGATGAAGCCACCTTGCCACCTAGACATCACCTTCCCCACAGTTCAAGCCACCCTCAGGGAGGGTAGATGTGGGAAACTCTGTAGAAGGTAGCAAGCAGTACCATCCTTCTCATGGTGTACCTCAAATTGTGGTTCTTGTAAGCACCAGTGAGCAGGAAGTGTCTGGATAGGTAAGAGATGGAAGAACACCGCTTTAGGTAATTCTTTTTTTCCACAGACTGTTCCCAAACCCATTGCCCTGGAGCCGTGTTTTGGCAACAAAGCTGCTGTCCTTTCTGTGTTCGTGAGGCTCCCTCGAGGCCTGGGTGGAATCCCTCCTCCTGGGCAGTCGGGTAAGTAGGGGCCGAGACTGTGAAGGAGCCAGGCCTTGGGAGCTTCTCTCACAGAGAACAGCACAAAAAGGCAAGATTGTCCTGACAGGGATTATGTCATATAATGCCATTGTCGCTTACATTCCAAAAACTGTTCCTGAGGTTACCATTCCCTTCCTGGAGAAGTCCAACCTTATTCGGCCTCTCTGGTTAGAGAGTACTTCAGACTGGACCTTCCCCAACATTCCTGGACCCTCTGGCTCTGTTTGTTTGTTTAGTCTCTGAATCTAGGCTGCTTCCCTGCACACCATCCTTCCCCCTGGTCATCTTCCCCACGCCCCCCTGGCTTGTCATTGTCTTTTCAAAGCTGATGATGCATATATTAGTATTTCTAGCCCCACTTTGTTTCTTTTGCTTTTTTACTCTGTTTTAAATAGAAGTTACAGATAACCATAAAAACAACATAAAGATTTCTGAAAATTCACTCACACTTCTGCTATGCTAACACCCACCAACTTTTATTATTCTGTTTTCTTCCTAGCCTTTGCCAGCAGTTTAGTTGGAATGACTATGTAGATCTAATTTTTATTCTTCTTTTCTCATATAACTGTCATTAACTTTTTTTTTTTGTACCAGGGATCAAACTCAGGATCTTGTGCTTTCGAGGACAGTGCCACTGAGCTAAATCCCTGGCCTAGTCATTAACATTTTTACAGCTTACTACATAATGCTGTACCAATGTTTGTACACCTTTCCATCAAATACACGAATCGTTATTTGCATAAATATTCTCTTACATGGAACACAGAGGCACTGTGGAAAGCATTTCTGGAAATACCTTCATTAATTATGATGTACTCCATAGGGATGCCTCAAGCAGTGTTAACATGTTAGGCAGCCTTCATATACAGAGGTTCTGAAGCTCAGAGTGCCCTCCACCAAAGATGACCTGGAGCCTGGGAGGAAAGGATGCCCAGGAGGTCCAGCCCAGAGCTACATGTGCCCTTAGAGCACCTGCAGACCAGAAGGGCTTCTGGTTCAGTTTACACAGCAGCAGCGATCTGAGGTATCCTCACAGGGGAGGCCCTAGGCATGGTGAGGTCAGGATTCATTGTCTTACCTCAGGATTCCTGGAGTTGAGAACCTGATTCAGCCTTGCCAGTGCTGAGGACAGCCTGGCTCATGACCTAGCACTCAAGTGTAGGTGTCTCCTGCCACCACCTAGCTTTATAAATATTGGCTGGTGCTCCCTGGAGCAAGGTGCCTGGTGGCAACACACTTGGTGCACCTTGCTGCCTGGAACACCTGCTGAAGCTCTGCTTGCTGCTCAAGGCCCATCCCAACAGTGAGGCTGTCCTTGCCAACTCTTCTACAACTCCTGTTTTATGTGAACATTGTTTTGGTTTTTTGGTACTGAGGATCAGACACAGCCTTGCACACAAAGGCAAGACAAGCACTCTACCACTGAACTGCATCCAAGCGCTTTTGATATTGAGACAGGGTCTTTCTATGCTCAGGCTGGATTTGAGCTTGGGATTCTCCTGTCTCAGCATCCTGAGTCGGTAGGATTACAGATGTATACCAGCATACCTAGAAAGGTGGTTTTTTTTGGGGGGGGTTGTTTGTTTGTTTCCCTGTTGGGGATGGAATCAGAGCCTGGCACACATTAAGCAAGTGTTCTATGGCTGAGCCATACCCCTAGACCTCCTGCTCCACAAAATTGGTGCCCTTTTCTGAATTCCTAGAACATCTGACTCTGCCATAACAGTTGTCACTGGTGTGGATTCTCCACTGTGCCAACCACAAACTAGGCACTTAAGAGCCATCCTTCTCTCCTCCCCATTTGACTGGCCCAGCAGAGGGGGGACAAGAATGACAGCCCCTGAGGACAGCCTTAGAGGGGCTCTGAGGGCCCACTTCTGCAACGTTAGGGATCCAGCTTCCGTAGAACCTTGACCTACCCAGTGAACACCAGGTTCATTACAATATAGAAGGAAAAGCGGGGGACCCCAGTACCTAGGAGCAGTGTGGGGACTGAGAATAAGAGGTAAGAAATTCACTCACTGGCCCTGTGCTGTTAATGTGCTCATCTTACAAATACAGAACTGAAACGTGGGAGAGTTAAAGAATCTTGCTTATTCCAAAGCCTGGCCCTAGAGTTTGCCCTGCCTGCATCATAGTGTGGATATAAAAATAATCCATGCCAAATAAGTGGTATAGGATGAATCTGAAGTTCGTGCTAAAGCATGCAGCTTTTTCTTGCCACCTTTTTTTAATTTTTGAGTCAAGGAGTCAATGTGTATTCCAAGCTGGCCTCAAACTCTCAGTGGTCCTCCTGCCTCAGCCTCATGAGTGCTGGGATTATAGTGGTATGCCACCACACTGGCTTTCTTGCCACCCTTTTGGAGACAGGCAGATGAATGGGCACAGCTATAGTCTCCTTCCACAATCCCACTGCCAGACAGACATCTGCTGAAAAGCAGGCTACACCTTCTGTGTCAAAATAGTGGGGAGGGCAGGTAGGTGCATTTGCATAAATAAACCCTGGAAGAATATGAAACTAATGAAGAGGTTTACCCAGGTGAGGTGGAAAATGTGGGGAAAGGTGCACAGTAAAGGTTAAACTCTTCACTGTGTACTTTTAAATTTTTTTGCACCATGGAAATTAAACAAAGAAATTTTAAAATTATTTAAAAACAAGGGCCAGGGATTTAGCTCCGTGGTCCCACTGCCTGCCTCACAAGCGCAAGGTCCCGAGTTTGATCCCCAGTACCAATAAATAAACAAACAAATACAGACAAACTGCTCCTTGACACTTGTCCCCTTCTGTGTATTTTCCCAAGGTCTTGCTGTGGCCAGCGCCCTGGTGGACATTTCTCAGCAGATGCCAATAGTGTACAAAGAAAAGTCAGGAGCAGTGAGAAACCGGAAGCAGCAGCCCCCTGCACAGCCTGGAACCTGCATTTGATGCTGGGGCCAGGGGACTCTCCCATGCACGTGGGGGCACGTGGCCCACCAGAGCCATCTGCAAGGGATGGCACAGGCAGGGACGCAGCGGGGCCGTGTGGGGCAAAAACTGGAAACCCTCAGAGCACCCAACTCATCTGCATGATCACAAACTTTATTTGACAGTTTGTCCCATCCGTGTCCAGCATCGAACCTTTTACTTTTGCATAGGAAATAATTTACCTTCAGGTCCAGGGATGGTCCACTTGTTGCTGGAGGCCAGTGTAAAGCTAGCAAGAGAGTGAGGAGTGATGCCTGGATTCGCGTGTGGAAACTGTTTTTGGGACTGTCTCAGCTGCAAAAATGGAAAGACGACGGGTCACAAGTAGACCTGCATATTCTGTTGTTCTTCAATGTGGTCTTTTACAAACTACTCAGATGAATTAACTTGCTTTCATCTGAAGCCTGCTATCTTTTTTAAAGATGTGCCGTTTAGGTTTGCCCAATTTCAGCAGATTATCTTCCAGGAAGTAGCTTTTTTCTAGTTGAGAATTAATAATGGTCCGTCTTTTGAATCGTGTCAGACTAAGAAGGGGGCTGTATTAAACATCAAAGTCAGCAGTGTTACTTAGAATGTAAGTGGATGTGATAGGTGTCTTCTATAGCAACTTAATTTAGTCTTAATCCATTTGAAACTCTCTCTTCTGCTCTTTCTCTTTGTCTCATTCAAACACACACGCACATGCGCACGTGCACACACATATACACACTAAGTGCCTAGACTTTAAATAGATCTAGCAATTGGAAAGTTAGTGAGCCTAAGTTTTTACATAATTGCATTCCTACATTCTTGTAAAATTTAAATAGCTACCATTGGCAGTCTGCTCTTTTTCTAAAATCTAATTTGCAGCCAGGAAAGAATTTTCTCCCCCCAAGGAACATTTGACCTAGCGGCAGGGACTGAGGAAAGCAGAAATGAACTGTGAACGTACCTGTTTTTATTGTTCTCCAAAAGTACACCATCGAGAAATTGTGGTCCCCATGTGCCACCTGCCCCTACCTGGTATCAGTCTAGTCCTGATGCTTGCTTGGCCCTCTGGGCTCCTTCTGCCCGGGCAGCACAGAGGAAAGGACTCATGCATGTCATGTACCTCCTTTGAGCAGAGTCAAGCATTGAGCGTGCTCGGGACATCTGGGTAAAAGAGCGGCTCTGTGTTCTGTAGCCTGCTGTGAACCTGGGACCATCCTCAGCTGGGGATGGGGTAGACACCAGGAGGGGAACAGCCCCTGCCCAGAGCCTGGAGAAGTCTCGGACTTGTCTGCCCCTTTTCCTGGGCAGGGCTTAGACCACCTGTCCTCCCAAATGGCACTGACGACTGAAGAGGGCAGGGAACACAGATAAGGGTGAAAAGCACATGGGAAAATGGACAGGAGGGACATGCTGCCATACAGAAGATTACCAAACTTAAGAGGGGTAGGACAGTGCCCTGCTCTTCTCCCACAGGGCACTGCCTGAATGTTGCATTTCCCCATTTATGGTGCTCTGTCTCCGGCATTATGCAGCAGCCTCCCATGATCTCTTGCGCTTCGAAACCTGCAATTCTCTAGCATTACCTGATTGGGATGGACCTCTGGACAGCAGTGCTCAAGTCTGAATTTGGAGAAATTAACACTCAAAAGAACAAAACCGTGGCATTTCACCTTTAAATGCAGTGCCTAGAGAGGAGGTATTATCTCCAACCCAACACCAACCCCACTCCTGTGAAGAAGCTTCTGAAAAGATGTTTCCAAGGAAGTTGAACCATAAAACACTGATGCACAAAACACCTCTACTGTGAGACTTGCCTCTCAAAAGCTTCCTTTTCACATCACTCTTAAAGAGCAGACAGTTCTAGAAAAGACCCTGTCAGGAGCTCCCCACACCCCTAGAGAACACGCCACCCACAGAGCGCCTGCAGCACCTGGCCCTTCACCCTGTGATTGCCAGGAGGCCTCTTGGTAAAGAAGGAGGCCACAAGTCTTGTGCTCCTACAAGGAAGATCCTCCTTGTTCTAAGGACCAAATTTCCTTGGCCAAAGAAGTCTCTTCCCCATGTTTGTTCCATGCCTTGAAATAACAATGCACCGTGACCCCCAGCCAGCTTGTTACGTCTTTTTAGGACCAAATTTCCTTGGCCAAAGAAGTCTCTTCCCCATGTTTGTTCCATGCCTTGAAATAACATGCACCGTGACCCCCAGCCAGCTTGTTACGTCTTTTTTTTTTCCTGATGTTTATTTTTTTAAAAGGAGGGGGAAAGCAAGTGAAGTTTCACTCTCCTGCACTGTGGAGAAACAGCTGGATCCACCTGCTTCTCCTTTGCAGCCAACAGCAAACAGCTTCCTCCAGGCTGTGGGCAGAAGGGTGCAGGGGGAGGAAGAGGAGCGCAGCTGGAGCCAGTTACCAAGAGGGAATGCGTCATCATTGTCATTGGTAACTGTGTGTGTCACAGGACAGTCTGTACATAAAATACTCGTGGAAACATTGACCTTGCACTTGTACATAATGATACAGTAGTGTCCAGAATGTTCAAACATTGAGTGTACATAAATCAGAAAAGGAGCATAATGTATTTTTATTAAATGTAACAACATCTGAGTTTGACCTAAAATGTTTCTGTGCCGTATACTGGGTATCCAAGTTCTGGAACATCCTCTCAACTCATAATGAAACCAAGAGCCAGGCCAGCATGGCACTGACATATTTAGCTGCACCTGGTACCCGCTAGATAGCTCCAAACAGGACTGGTCTGTCAGGACCTCCATGGCTCGGGCAGTGAGGCTGTAGTTCCAGGCAGTGCTCAAGGTAGCTGGAAGCAGAAGCTTCTGTCACTGTTGTCGATCAGCATGCTCCTTGGCAACCTTGGTAGCCCTCAGGACTCTAGGGTGCAAGGGGTGACCAGTCTCATCAATGCAAAAACTGTTTCTCTAGTCCTAAATTCAAAGACTATAATTTGTGGAAGTCAGACTCCCAAAACTGGTTCTCCAGGCTGCACTTTGTTGTGTCTTTGACTAAATTTTTGATGACCATTTCTGAGCACCATTATCATTTTCATACTGAAAACTAGGGCCGGAAGGTGGAAACTTGTTCATAAACAGGTCCATTTCCAGGGAGCTTTCACAGCCCAGCCTGCTCTCCACTTCCAGTCCTTCCTATGGTCTGGGGAGGTCCAGGGAGAGTCACCTGTAAAGTTGAGAAAGTGGTGCAGAGCAAGCAACCCTTACTCCTCTGAGCCGACCTGGGGGAAGACCATCAGCAAGAGGAAAATGCTGGGATATCTGTAAGGCCTCAGGCAAAGAAAAGAGCGCTCCGGATAGGAAAAGACGTTTTCCCTTGCAGGGCCTATCTGGCTCCTTCAGAAGGGAGCAGTTGGGGGTGGGGAGGTGATTCACTTCCTCAGGAGGTTGGTGTTGCGTTCATGGCTTTCATGAATACCCTTTATCCCTTCTCTGAATTCAGCTGTTCGTTCCACAAATATTTACTGAACACTTACTAACCTAAGCTAATGCTAGGGCCATGGTGAAGATGAAAAAGTAGCTCTTTAGAATTACAGAAAATTCTAAATGCCTCACAGCCCTGTTATCCCAGGAGAGCTTTCCTTGGTTTGGTTTCTGTGAGACATGGCCATCCTGAGGACAGAACCAGGAAAGCTTCCTGTCAGAGTGTGCTCTGGCTGCCCTCGCCTCAGCACCCGCAATGTTTACCCTATTAACCAAGCTCCTATCCTGCGGCTCCGCCCCGAGGAGACTGAGCTCACCGCCTGCCTGCAGGGGGCTCTCGGAGTGCAGAGGGAAACCGGCACCTTCTCTTCCAAAGGCAATAATGGAACCGACTCAGTAAATGAATCTGTGCACAAAACATTCTGAACACTAGTGAAACCTGTTTCATTGAACTAATTCTGGCTCTAGAAATGTTTTTGTTTTATAGTTATTTACGTTTTTTATTTTGTTTGGATTCAAGCTTAGTTTGTTAATATGTATAATTTAGCATCTATTGCACTCGTGTAAATATGGAGTAAGTATTGTAAACTATTTCATTGCTGGGATTGTGGGTGTTATACATACATTTAGGACTGCAATTTTTTGGTATTTTTTGTATTGTAAAATAACAGCTAATTTAAGCAGGAACAAGAGAATTAAGGGAGGTCTGTGCATTTTAAACACAAATGTGAAGCACCTGTATATAAACAAAAGTAAATACTATACTACAAACTTCCTTCTGAAATAAAAGTAGATCTGGTAAAAAAAAAAAAGTGGTTTTCTGTGTGCTTAATTTTAATCTTGGTTTTGTTGTTTATATTTACATTTTGGTCATTAGAACCTTAAGAAGGAAAAAGATGTTTAAGATGTTACTAGTTTTCAGACTGACTCCAGGGAAGCACTTGGCATTCAGGAAGGTGAGGGTATAAAACCCCCAGAGGCCTCTGCGGGGTGGAACTCAGCACTGGGCAGATGGTGGGTGGAAGTCCAGGAGTCCAGTTGTCCCACAGAAGCCTGTGTGCACCCACAGAGCAGCTCTGCCTAGAAAGGAGTCCGGCTGTGCTGGGCCTCACCACACTGCTGTGTGCAGTTGCCCCTCTTCTTCCATCTCCTCATAGGCGTCCTGGTGTCTCTTCAGGCTTCCCAAACTGCTAAATCTGGGTCCAGCAGCAAATCAATGCCTTGAAGTGTGATGCACCTGTAACCCAAACCTAGAACTCTTGGCCTTGACTTAGCGGTCAGGTGGTGGACAGTGAGAAAACAACAGGAGGAACACTGGAGGTCCCTGCCAAGCAATGGCAAAACATCTGGGAAGGCTGTCATGTTGGGTAACTTGGAAAACAAATCACATACCTATTGAGTTTCAGCTTGAAGAGAAAAGCTGGAAAATTAACAATGTGGCATCTGTTATTGCTTTGGCCAAGGCATCACAAGAAAGTTGAGGTCTAGAAAGGATTAGCCAGTTTACAAGCAGAAGGTAAAGGTGTGTGGGGGGGTCCCCACATCTAGGGCCTTGTGGTGTAGGAAAAGCCAACTGCTAGCCCCAAACAACAGGAGCTACTGGTGAGCAACCAAGAGCTGTGAGGCTTGTGGGAAGTGATGGTCTCACCAGTGAGCCTGGTAACCTCAGGCCAGCATGTAGATGAAGCAAAAAATAAAACCGATAAGGAACTTCCCAGGAAGGAACCAAGAATGCAGTCACTGCCTGCCTGGAAAACAACAAATACCAAAAGGATGTAGTAAGTTTGGCCTGGGATGTAGCTCAGGGGTACAGCATTTGCATAGCATGTGCAAGGCCTTGGGTTCAATCCCCAGGACCACAAAGAAAAAAATTGTAGTAAGTTTAAGAAACTATGAGTACAGCCTTTAAAACAAACACAAACCTTTGATGGATGAGAAAAGCTTACAGCCACCCTCTGGCAAGAACAGTCATGAAAGCTGTGTCCAGAGGACAGAACCCGGCTTGGCAAGGACCTCCCAGCCTAGGGTAGGCCTTCAGAATTTGAAAAGCAGTGATGGCTGTGTACCAGCCACCATCCTGCCTGCACCAGAGGATTAATGGAGGCGCCTTGCCCCACCTCACCTCTGCCTCTTAGGGGGTGGGGAGGGTCAGTTGTTAATTCAGACTCACCTGGAGGTCTGGATGTGCTGGGACTTGTACTGTCCCCCTTAGGAGAGGATGCCTGTGTTTCATATTGGGGAAGAAGAGCAAGTGGGTTTTGGTGACAAGGAGAGCAGCTGTGCCAGAGACTGGCTAGATGCTCAGCACACCATTTCCTCCTCCTCAGTCCTCAGCTTCACCTGCATTGCACAGGACTCTGGCATCTGGATGAAGACAGGTGACCAGTCCTTACCTATGATGTGTCACAGCCTTGTCAAGGCTCAGAAGACTATCTCTTCTACCGGCTGTGACCTTTCTCCCCTCATGTGGAAGATGGTATTGGGACAGAGTCGAAGAACCTGGGGCCCTGGGTGACTTTGTGGAACAGAGCACTATAGACGAAAGGTATGGGAAACAGCTATCTTTTCTTACCCTGCCTAAGTGAGTTAATTATTCCTCTAGCTTTATTCATCTGGCCATTCAAGTTTTTTGTTTTGTTTTTTCTTGAGCACAACAGGACCAGGCATTGTGAAGGAACCAGAGATTTTTCAGGGAGGGAAACAGCCTGTTGTGTACAATGATACATAAAATATCAAATAGTAGCTTAGGTGAAGAGGTTAAAGTTGGGTTTGGGGTAGGAAGTATTGGGGGGATTGCTGTCTAACAGTGTGGCTGAGGTGGTAGAAAAGCAGAGCTGCAAGGAGGGAGCAGAGCATTCAAAACCCAAAGCAGCAGGGCGGGTAGCCATAGAGGGAGGGTGGGGGAGGCTGTGCTGGGCAATGGTTCTCAGGGATGCAGGGTTGTCTCCAGGGGATATCTATTATTAGGGCCTATTGCACTAGTCAGGGAGGTATGGCTGTGGTTTGGAGGATGGGCATAAAGGTAGACACCATGTGATGTGTGAGACCAGTCCACCCAACAAGGAATTGACCTGCATGCCACCCAACTTTCAGGTGTCTTGCTGCTATTTGTGTAGATGAAAACAATTGTTTCTACTTACTCTAGCATAGAACCTAACCATATTATAAACAAAATATTTGAGCTGGTTTAATACACAATCAATTTTTCAGAAATGCAACTACCATTTAGATCAAAGGAAGACTGAAGTTTGTTTTCTTAAGTTTTACCATGAGCTGGTCATCATTTTGGAAAATTCTTTCACCAACAGTAATGTCATTCCTGGCACCTGAGTCTCCAGCTTCATGGATCTGTGGGTCCCTCCTGAACGGACACCCTGTGGCTCTGCACGTGACTGTGCAACATGCCTGGTAAGGATTCCCTTCTACCTGGTGTCCCCAGCACAAGAAGAGGACTTGACAGCTGACCCCAGAGATTGTATGGAGCGTGTAGAAAAGAGGTGGTCTCAGCTGTGCTGCCAGGGTCCATCTGTAAGCCTTTGCTTCTCATTTGCTTAATTCCTATCCCTTACCTATCCCTTGAGTTTGTGTATTTAATTTAATCTGTTTGTAGGACTAGGGCCTCATACATGGTAGACAAAGGCTCTACCATTGAGCTACATTCCAAGTCCTTAAAATTATTTTTTGCCAGGCATGTTGACACACACCTGCCAGTACATCCCAGCACTATGGAGACTGAGGCATGAGAATTGCTGAGATTTCAGGCCAACTTGGTCTGTACAGGCCGGTCCAAACTACAGACTGAGTCCTGTCTCAAAAAAGTTAAAAATTAATAAAATTTTTTAAAATATTAATATAGGGTCTCACAAAGTGGAACTCAGATTCCTGAGTAGCTGGGATCACAGGTGTGTATCACACCTGGCTGTGAATTTTCTTCACTTGTGTGGGTACTCATTTCTCCCTCTGTCTGTCAGGCTTGATCTGAAGGCTCATTTGGGTATGGAGTGACATGTCCCTGGCAGACCAGCTTCACAGGACTGCCTTCAGTCCTGGCCTTCACAGGCCTGAGCCTAGCAAGGTGGGACTGTGCCTGCCTGTTTTCCTAGTGTGCCAAGACTCCCTGGGGAGCTGCTGTCCTGCCTCTCTGGACACCTTGCCCAGCCGCTCTTCTTCTGGCCTTCAGAGTTCACTGGCCACTGTCCACCAGCTGGTTCTGTGAGCTTGGCCTGACTCACTTGGAGAGGTGGCCGTGAGCTGTTTCCATATCAGCTTTGTTTCCAGACACTGGGCTGTTAGCTAGGGAGGCAACTATGAGCCATGAAGTGTCCAACAATAAACCCATGGACATCCCCAGCCTAGTACCTGCCTTTCTGTCTCTGCCCCAACCCAGGCCACCTGCCAGTTGAGGAGTCAGCACTGGCAACAGGTAACAGAGACCCAGCCACAGGGTACAGTCCAGGTCAGGTCTGCAGTCTCCCAGTGTGTGCATGAGAGTCACAGCTGCCTGGCAGACACAGAGGCTGGCACTCAGATGTATGTTGGGAACACAGATCCAGCCCTGAGCCATTTGGCCAGACTTCATTACCATGTATAACCAGAACCTTTTAGGTAGAAGTAACAGAAAACAAACCCTAACGACCTTAGGTACCTCAACTAGTTTCCTGGAGCTGCTGTAACAAATTAAACAACAGTTTATTCTTACAGTTCTGGAGGCCGGAAGTCTGACCCTGAGGTGTCACCAAGACCACACTACCTTCTGTCTTCGTGCCTCCTAACATCCCCTGGCTGATAGCTGCAATCTCTGCTGTCTTCACACAGCCCTGTCCTCCTCTGGGTGTCTGTACCTTGTGTGTGTGTGTGTGTGTGTGTGTCTGTCTGTCTGTCTGTCTGTCTGTGTCCCCCACCACCAACCCCACATCACTCTTAAATAGAGTCAGGTGATTGTATTCAGGGCCCACTTGGATAATCCAGAATAAGCACCTCCTATCGAGACCTGAATTCAGCCCTGTCTTTTGCCATGTAAGGTGATGTTCTCTTTGCTACTGTTAAAGGTATCACTGCAGTTTCCAGGGATTTGGATGCAGACCACTAGCAGCCATGGAACAATCTCACCATTTCAAATTGGTTCTGTTCACATCATCTTCTGTTTTTTGGAAGGACTATGCCTGTGCTTTTCCATCGAGAATTCTATTTTTATTTTAAATCATTTCTACTTTTTAAAAAATAGTTACATTTAGGGAAGAAAATGTTCAAATGGGAAGGGGAACAAGGGAGGGGGGAAGGAGAAAAGGAAGGGGCAAGAAAAAAAGTGAAAATAGAAGGAAAAAATGGAAACAAAGCTTTTGCATATAGGGAGGGGAGGAGACCTGAGAGGAGGGGGAAAGGGAAAAAAAGAAGAGGCGGGATACATCATGTACAGGTACAAGTTCCCTGCGATTAGTGTTACTATGTTTATCTAAAATGTTACCAGTAAATGTTTTACTAAAAGAAAGAAAAATAATAAAATATCCACATTTTGCTTTCTCTGAGTTGAAAATGGAGCAGAGTCAAATGTGCTTTCACATTTACAGACTCAGTCCTTCATCTGAGTCACCAGCCACCATGTGACTGTGATGGGCAGGGCAGAGTGATGCCTTCACGACCCTGTGTCCCCCAGCACAGCCCCTGTTCCCACCCCAGAGTTGTGCACTTGCTCATGAGGAGGTGATGGAGAATATTCCATTTCTATGAAGTGAGAATGACTAAACTTAGCCTCACGATGCTAACATGTTTGTTTGTTTGTTTATTTGTTTGATTAGTGGTGCCAGGGATCGAACCTAAGGCCTTGCTCCAGCTAGGCAAGCATTCTACCACTGAGCTACATCCCATCCCTTTATTTAAATTTTGTTTTGAGACAAGGTCTTGAAACAGGCTAGCCTTGGACTTGTGATCCTCCAGGCTTAGCCTCCTGAGCAGCTAAGATTACAGGCACCATGCTTGCCCCAACACCTTCTTTTTCTTTGGAAATTTGTTGCTCCCATTCCAGGTAACTACAGTGGGCCAGTACCACTCCCAGGCCACAGGAAGAAGCTAGTAACCTATGCTGGACCCATGAATGCTGGGAAAAAGAGGTGTGTCTCTCTGCTGGGATTGCTAAAAGGAGAGGACATTGGAGGCATCTTCTCTACCCCTTAGTGAAGGCCTGCCTAGCTTCAGAAGGAAGCTGCTGGCAAAACTAGCAAGGACGACATCAATGGAACCCCTGGAGACAGCTGTGCCTGAAGCCTGAGCCGCTCAGATATGTGCTTAAGCCAGTTTGATCCATTACAACCAGGTGAATCTTGACTGAACCTGGGAGCTGAGTAGTATAGCAGTAGCAAGCACTATCTGTGGGTTTGGTGTAAGATATATATATATATCCTGTCTCGGAGCTGGTGGCCCCTGTTCCTGTCAGGACAGCCCAGGCCTGAGTGTCCTGGTGGTCTGTAGCTAATACCCTGTCTCTTAGGTCAGGTTCTCCAGAAACCAGGTGAAGGAGGCAAGATGGGTGAGGATGGGGATGAACTGTGGGGTGGAATCGGCTGGAGTCCAGCCTGTCTGTCTCCACTGGCTCTGGAGTCAGAACGGCAAGCAGGGCTGTGCCACTCTGTCTTAGTTCTTTTTCTCTCATTGCTGAGACAAAATACCTGAAACCCAGGGGCAAAGGAGAAGGGGAAATGGGAGGGGTAGGGAAAAGAAAGAAGGGAATGGAATTAATATGAAAAAATGGAAACAAAGTCTTTGTAGCGAGGGAGGGAGGGGTTGAAGGGAGGGCAGAGGAGTCAGAAAAAAAAAGATGGATTGTGTAAAGGTACAAATTTCCAATGATGAATGTCATTATATTGTGAACCTTAAATGTACCAATAAAATTAATTTTAAAAAATCCTTGACACCCAAAGTTAAAGGGGGCAAGGTTTATTTAGCTCACAATTTGTAGAGGTTTCAGTCCATAATCAGCTGGCTCCAAGGCAGAGTGGCCTGGCAGAGGGTCATTACAGAGGAAAAACAGTTCATGGAGGACAGAAGGCAGCAAAGCAAGCAAGCAAGGGACAAAACAAACCTCTTTCTGTCCCTTATGTTATATTCGGGCTACTGAGATTAGGGCGGTGCCAAACCAATCAGTGGGCTCATCCAGTAATCATACACCCTTTATCCCAGCACCCTTAATCCTAGCATTGCATCATGCATCAATACACTCCAGATTCAGCCACCTCTGACAAAGCCTCACCGATGACTGCATGAGGCTGGGGGGGACATCTAGACACAAGCCATAACACACCTTGAGGCAGGCAGGCCAGGCCCTTACACCCCTGCCTGCCTCAGTCAGTCCTGGGCTGCAGTCACCTTGGCAGCAGAGTGGACACCACCAGGCGTTTCTGGGCAGTGATTCTCTAGAGAAGGACACAGCTCTGAGCTGTCAGGAGTCTCCATACGGTCCAGGAGGAGGCAAGCAGGCAGAGGCTTAGTATCTAGATCCCATCTTCTCCCAGAACTCCCTTACACTGCTGCTAGTTACTTTTGTTGTTTATTTATATTTATTCCAGTGCTGGAGATGGAAACCAGGGCCTCATGCATGCTAGGCAAATTCTCTACCATTGAGCTACACCATCAGCCCCAGAACACCAATTTAACATTGCCCGGGGCACTCACTGGATCACACTGGCTAGTGTGTATTACATGGCCTGAGAAATGTAGTTTATCTGAAAACTAGTAAAGAAGGAAGAAGCAAAAATAAAGACAATTGTTACCATCAGATCTGAGAGTTGAATCATTTTGGCATCTGTAAGGGAGAAAACAGAATCCTGAGAGGTTCTGGAGCCATCTGAGCTCACACAGGACAGCAGAGCACAACATGCAGCACATCCTGATCTCCCAGCTCCCACCACGCAGATGACATGAGAACAAGGTCAGCTTCAGTGCACAAGGGTTTATTGAGCGTGGTGTACCATTCCCAGTGCTGAGGATAAACTGTGGGGAAAACAGGCCTGTAGCCAATTTGAGATAGGGCAGAACAGGGACTGGATCCTCACTCATCCAGGTGGTGTCCCCCTGGCAGCACAAGGGGTCACACCTAGCTGTGAGGACGCCCTGAAAGGCTGCAGGAACTGCTATGGTAGTCCTGCCTGTAAGTCCATTCCGATGCATTCCCTAGGTGTTATATGCTTGGGGGTCAGATAAGGTTTCCTAGAATCCTAGGAACCCAGATGGTCTCTCAGAACTTCAGCAACAGTGACATCTCAGCTACAAAGCCCACCCACTCTTGTCCTACCCTGTGGGAGATGCCAATTGTCTACAAAGAAAGGGAACTGCAACCAAAATCCCTACCGAATGGGAAACCAGAGGCTTTGCAGCCTGGCTCCAAGGCTCTAATCCTGGCTCCAAGGGACAGGCATCCAGGTGGCCAGACCTGCAAAGGGCAGCAGGGAGGGCAAACCAGCCCCTTTCCAGTGGGTGATGCAAGCAGCTGGCTGTGCTGTTCGAGGTCTGCCATTCTATCACAGCAGGGCCTGGAAAGCCAGGACGGGGAATATGGACAGCAGGGAGCTCCCCTCCAGGGGCCCAGCTGCAGAGGACACCTAGGGTGGGAGCAGAGTGAGGACTTGAGGCACCAGCCTGATGATGCCTGCTCCCCTTTCCCAGGACATGCATACCTCCACATTGCCTGCTTGGCATGGGAAGCTGTGGGAGGAAGCAGCAGGAGCTGCTAGTTCACCAGCTTCTCCCTGCACCTACCTGCAGGAGGCTGTGTCCAGGTTCCTGCTGAGAGTCCAACTGGACTTGCAGGATTCCAGACCACCGGCTCTCAAAGGCTTGTATGGCACCATCTACGGAGTAAGAGACCTCAGGGATCCTGGCTGGAAAACCCTTGCACAGGGCCCAGCCCCTTTTGGACAAACTGAGGTCCCTGGTATCTGGAAGGAATGGCTTCTGAGACAGGAAATGCATGTCCAGCAATAACAAAACAAGGACCATCATGCTAAGAGTAACTCACAAATTGTATAATCTGTGTGTGTGTGTGTGTGTGTGTGTGTGGTTCTTCAAGACAGGGTCTCAATATGTAGTTCAGGCTGGCCTTGAACTATGTAGCTCAGGTTGGCCTCAAACTCACTAGCCTCACAAGTGCTGGGATTACAGGCATGCGACACTACACCCAGCTTACAAATGGTACAGTCTTGCAGCCTCACAGGGGAGGGGGACAATTATATCCCCGTGCTGTAAATGAACACAAAAAGGATTAGTGGAATTTATTCTCAGCTACTAAGTGGCAGATTTGGGCTTCCAATTCAGGCCTCCTAATTCCCAGACTACAAAACCATTCAGACCCCAAGGGGCAAGATCACCAGTGAGGATACCTGAGAGCACGTCTTAGAGGGAGGAGCTCAGAAATCCCAGAAGTAGGAGTCTCACCTTGACCTCAATTCCAGGTCCTCAGAAACCTGTTTTAACTCGCTACCTCCCACCAGCCTTGGCACCTCCAGGGGTCTGAGACCTGGGCACGGATTCTCCCAGGAATAAGGTGACAAGGAGGGTAGGAGAGGGAAAGGGTGCCTGCGTGGCTGTCTCAAAGAACCTCGGTTTTCTTCCTTTTAAAGTGGGCTCCCGGGCCGGGGATTTAGCTCAGTGGTTCCGCCGCCTGCCTCGCAAGCGCAAGGACCTGAGTTCGATCCCCGGTACCAAAATAAACAAATAAAGTGGGCTCCCGCCAGCCAGGACTTGGGAAAGGTCAATAAGCACCGTCCTCCCCTCTCACCCAAGCACTGGTTCCTTGTAAAGAGGTCCCGGAAGGCTTCGCACTCCTCCCGCCGGTTTCCACTGGCTCTGCAGTCGCACCAGGGCGCCACGCGCGCGCTCGCGTTGTCCAAGTAGTTGGGGGTGATGGCGGTACCTGCGGTGACACCGAGGGCCGGGTCATCTGCCCACGGTAGGGCGGAGGCATCCCCGGGAGAGGCTCCGCTCGCCGCTGGATCCTGGTCATTCGTACCCACGAGGCCTGCGTAGGCGCGAAGGCAGCGGGGTCCCTGGTCTCTCAGGCCGCCGCCGGGGGGC